TCTCTATTCACCCCCTCCCCACCCTCTCTCCTCCACCTTTTGTAAACAAATGATTTGGTTTGAGATGTTGTTCAGAGGAAAAAAAAATCTTAAATCAGGTACAGGGTTCCCTGAATGGAACATGGGGGAAAATAAAGAAAGGGGAGAAAAGGATCAGTGAGTGAATGTGCTGTGGGCGGAGAAAAAAAAAAGTGTGTATGTGTGGGAAGCGGGGGGGATGAGGGAGGGAGGGAGGAGGGGGGTCACCGGACGAAAACGCTTCAATTAACTAAAAGATTAACTGCAACATCGATGCCTGGCTGAGGAACAGAGTCGTATATTCTTTATAGTATTAAGAGCAAGTATCAGATTCAGCTACAGTATATTGGGCATATACAGTATATATACACACATATATATATATATACATATATGTGTACAACAGAACTCATCGCTGGGAGCAGGATTTTAAACCTGTGACCCTTCAGTAACAAACCTGATCCTCTAACCTCCGTTTTCGTCCTCAACTTAACTCCGTATCAAAACCGTAGACGTCCACGTGTCAACATCTCATTTCCATCCAACAGACAAACTGCATGTAAACATGGAATTATAGAAACATTTATAGACTAATCTGCAGAGAGCCATGGAATTCAACATATTAACTCTACAACAAATCCCAAAGAAATATACTGTAGAATAATTTAACGTTAAACCCCAAATGCATTTTAATGAATCACAGGAAGTAGAATTTCTCTATTTCCTCTCTGATTTTTGTTTTGTTTTTTTTCTTTACATTTCAAGTTCTAAAATCTGAGTGGTTTTGTAAATGAGTATCGGACCTTTGGTTGTTGTGCAGTTAGTTTAAAACATGTTGAGATTTCCAAACTGTGGATGGTTTAGATGATAATTAGATAATTAGTTTTACACCGCAAATCTTATCGTCATTATTTTAGTTGATTCACTTAAATACTGATATTATATATATTCTAGTTTTCTCTCTCTCGTTGTGTGTGTTGAAGTGTCAACTTTAGTGTCAATAAACACTTCTGTCTTTGCAAAACAAATATTCAAATTGTGTTTTTGGGGAATTAAATCATCTTCTTCTCTTCTACTGGTTTTATCTGGACACTGTAGGTCTGTTATTATTTAGGGCTGGTCCATTGGACTCGACCCATATATGACTTCAGCACCATGGACAGAGGCTGGGCCCTGATGGTGAAGAAGGTTGATGAGACCCTGACAGGTCGTCTGTGACTTTCTTTATCATCCATCATGATCATTGTAATTTTTTTTTCTTTTCTTTTTTTCCCCACCTCAGACACGTGAGACCACCTGACATGAGGCGAGAGGAGAATCTTATGAATGACTTGATTGATGGATACAGCGGTGGAGGCAGGGGCTGCTGATGGTAAGAGAAGGGGAGGGGGGTACTTGTGGTCATCATAACAGACTGACAGAGGGCTCTCATTCCATTGGTTCACATGTATTGTTATTGTACAAAAGTCTTGCTTTAATTGACTTAGCGCCGGGGGATATCGGCGCGATATCGGAGGGTACGACGTTTCTTCACCGTCACACTGATGCGTCCACGTGTTGCTGTGGGTCGCATTAACTCTGGGCGACACAGGTGAATTGCAGTAACTCGCGTTAGTTAGAGTGTATTAAAGCCTGAGGTCCAGGCTGTGGTCCCCTGGCGGTCATCTGCTGTGGT